ACCATCTACTTCTTCCTGCTATCATAAGATTTGGGAAGTTTTTCGTTCCTGGTCTCAAGAGAATAATGTGGATTTTCATCAGCCATCTAACATTAACATTCTACAATTCCTTCATACAGGTCTAGAGAAAGGGCTGAGTCTCAGTACTCTAAAAGTCCAATCTTCGGCTTTATCTGCTCTCTGCAACAAGTCTTGGGCTTCGGATCCTCTAATTGCTAGATTCTTTAAAGCAACCATCCGTATAAGACCTCCAATTAGGAACTACTCGCCTCCGTGGAATTTACCTATGGTACTAGAGGTGTTGGCTGAAAACCCCTTTGCTCCATTAGATGAGCTGGGTATTGTCTTATTAACATATAAGACCTTGTTTCTGGTGGCTGTTACTACTGCAAAGCGTATGTCAGAAATTCATGCTCTTTCCTGCGATGAAAATCACTTTCAAGTATTCCACGACAGGGTGATCTTGAGACCCAGACAAGAGTTTCTGCCGAAAGTTGTCTCAAATTTTCACATCTTGCAAGAGATTGTTATTCCTTCCTTTTATCCATCTCCTTCTACTCCAGAAGAAGTGAAACTTCATCAATTGGATGTCAGGCAGTGCCTACTCAAGTATTTAGAGGTTTCTACTCAATTTCGGAAGTCTCAACAGCTGTTTGTTCTGCCGATTGGTCCCAGAAGAGGGGAGGCAGCATCTACTTCCACCTTGAGATGTTGGATCTCCAATACTATAATCAAGGCTTATCAGTTGAAAGACCTTGTTCCTCCTAGTAGGATCAAGTCACACTCTACAAGGGCTTTAGCAACTTCATGGGCTAATTGGGCAGAAGTTCCATCTGACGACATCTGTAAGGCAGCTACATGGTCTTCTCCTCTCACTTTCATCAAACATTACAAGATGGATTTGGCATCTTCCTCTACGGCTTTTGGTAGAGGTGTTCTGTCCTCTGTGGAATCTATCTAAATTAAACCTTTTTTCAGCATTATATGGTTTGGAGTTTTTGTTTTGTTTTTGAATTTCCCACCCTATGGTGAAGCTTGGGTATTACCCATAAGTGATGCTGCCATGATTAGCCAGGAATACAGAAAATTTTATCATACTTACCGTAATTTTCTTTTCCAGGCTATTATTCATGGCAGCATCAGCAACCCCCCCTGGTTATCAGATTAGCTTTGGAACTAGACTGTGGGATAGAAGGAGGAGGGACCTTTTATACCCAGTCTGGTCCATATTAATTGATTTTATCCTGTCCTGTTCCTGATTAGGGCGGAGCTACCCATAAGTGATGCTGCCATGAATAATAGCCAGGAAAAGAAAATTACGGTAAGTATGATAAAATTTTCTGTATTGTTTTTCCAAATTTGTACCCTTTTGGGGTTTCATGTATATAACAATCATGCATTCTGATATCACAGAATATATATTGTACTATTACTCCTTTTTTTATAATGTCTTACATGTCATGTCGTATATATGACATGTACTAATCTGGTCCATATTATATTATATTCATTTAGTCCTTTATAGTTATTTTTTATCCTATGCAGATTTTTCATGCTTTATCATTATCATGGCATACAGGGTCCTTTGACTTCTTTCTTTGTCCCATATTTGTATAATGGGAACTGATTGTTGCCCCAGAGGGGAAGCCTTTTCTGCTGCACTTCTATTAGTGCTAGCAGAGGAGGGCTCCCCTCGATCGGATTAGATCCGAAACCGAAAGTGATGTCATGCGTTCCAAGGTGGAACGCAAGAAGCCCTTTTGATCGGATGAGACCGGAAACCGGAAGTGACGCTATGCGTTCCAAGGTGGAACGCAGGAAGTCTAATGGCCGAAAAATCGGAAGTAACATGTGAATTTCCCCGCAAATTTGAAAATTGGCATGATATATAAACCATGAAGATTACAACACTTCTATATCCCTGAGGAAGTCACCACAGTGACGAAACGCGTTTAATACTACTTTTGGACTTTTTATGCTAATATACAGCTGTTATTATAGTCCATTTGTTATTTTTATTTATTTTATTTTATTTTTCAATTTTAATTTTGTGTACCTCCATTTTGGGATCTCTCTTTACTTTCATCTGGAGACCCGGCCATTACTTCATTATGGAGATATGCTGTCTAACTTCTGATTTCTTGTAAGTGCAATATTTGGAATAAATCTTGTTATTTTTATACTATCTGCACTATCTATATTTTTTCTTTTGTTCCTGAGCTGAAGGAAAAAGGGATATTTTATTCATGAGCTGAAGAAAAAGTGATATTGTCAGTCTTCGCCATTTATATTCGACCTTCAATGTGGAAAATACCCCTGACAGGGTGACAGGCGTGATTACTACTCCTTTCTTGTAAGTTCTCTACCACATGCAAATCCATTTTTGCCTAACTTACTTCACTATATTTTGTATATTGCTATTTTATAGATTCCACGTTTATTTCCAGCCATATCCAGGTTGTATTGTGCCCAACCACCCTCTATTTGTATATATCGTATTTATGTATACATCCTTGTGTTTATTCTTTATAGTGTGTGTGTGAGGTACACTTCTTTGAGGGTGTGTTCTTTTAGTGTATCATATAGTAAGCATATCCTTTTTTGTATCTTTAAAGTATAACACCTTCTAACATATAGGGGTATTGAATTCTTAAATAGGGGTCTGTGGGTCATAATAAATGCTGTAGTTAAAGTTGTAAAAAAGGAAGGAGTCTGTGAGCAGGGGCGGACTGACCACTCGGGCATATCGGTCATGGACCGAGGGCCTGAGACAGTCAGGGGCCCGGCCGCACAGCCATGCTCCAGCTGGAGAGATCAGAGATCTCTCCAACTGGAACGGCAAAAAATAATAAAACTATTTAATTGATAGGTTGTGGGGCCCCTGATGCAGTGCAGGGCCCCACAACCTACCACTCTGCAAGTCCCCCCTCCCAATGAGACCTGGCAGCTTCACCGCCTCTCTGCCAGGTCTCCTTCCTGTCCCATGCGGCTCTGTGTGAAGGGGAGAGGCGGGCTAGGAAGTGACATCACTTCCTGTTTACTCCTCTCACACAGAGCCCAGCGAGGGGAAGGAGCAGCAGCCTGGGACAGAAGAGGAAGTAGAGAGACAGGTAGGCTCTAGTCACCCCTCCTCACTGTCACTAGTCACCCCACCACTGTGTCACTAGTCACCCCCCTCACTGTCACTAGTCACCCCCTCACTGTCACCCCTGTCAGTCACCCCTCCACTAGTCACCCTTTGTGTCAATAGTCACCTTTCACTGTCACTAGTCACCCCCTCACTGTCACTAGTCACCCCCACTGTCACTCACTAGTCATCCTCACAGCACACAATTTCTACTACTACTAGTGTCACTACTATCACTAGTCACTTCTCACTGTCACTTCTGTCACTTCACTGTGTCACTAGTCACCTCTACTGTGTCACTTGTGGGTACCCTCACTGAGTCACTAGTCACCCCCCCACTGTGTCACTAGTAGCCCCCTCCCTCACTCTGTTACTAGGCACCCCTTCCCTCCCTCACTTTATCGCTAGTCACCCCTTCCCACCCCTTCCCTCTGTCACTAGTCACTCCCTCCTTAACTCTGTCACTAGTCACCCCCTTCCTCACTCTGTCACTAGTCATCCCTTCCCTCTGTCACTGGTCATCCCCTCCGTCACTCTTTCACTAGTCACCCACTCACTCTAGTGACAGAGTGAGGAAGAGGGTGACTAGTGACAGAGTTAAGGAGGGAGTGACTAGTGACAGAGGGAGGGATGGGGTGACACAGTGACAGAGGGAGGGGTTGACTAGTGACAGAGTGCGGGAGTGGGTGACTAGTGACAGAGTGAGGGGATGACTAGTGACAGTTAGGGAGGGAATGACTAGTGACAGAGGGAGGGATTGGGTGACTAGTGACAGTCACCACCTCCCTCACTGTGTCACTAGTCACCCCCCACTGTGTCACTAGTAGCCCCCTCCCTCACTCTGTTACTAGTTACCCCTTCCCTCACTCATTCTGTCATCCCTTCCCTCCCTAACTTTATCGCTAGTCACCCCTTCCCTCCCTTACTCTGTCACTAGTCACCCCCTTCCTCCCTCTGTCACTAGTCCTCCCTCTGTCACTGGTCATCAACTCCCTCACTCTGTCACTAGTCACCGACTCACTCTAGTGACAGAGTGAGGGAGAGGGTGACTAGTGACAGAGGGATGGGGTGACTGGTGACAGAGTGAGGGAGAGGATGACTAGTGACAGAGTTAAGGAGGGAGTGACTAGTGACAGAGGGAGGGATGGGGTGACACAGTGACAGAGTGAGGGGATGACTAGTGACAGTTAGGGAGGGAGTAACTGGTGACAGAGGGAGGGATGGGGTGACTAGTGACTAGTCCCTCACTTTGTCACTAGTCACCATCTCCCTCCCTCTGTCACTATTCACCCCCTCCCACACTAGTCACCCCCCTGTCATTAGTCACCCCTTCCCTCATTCTGTCACTAGTCACCCATTCCCTCCCTCACTCTGTCACTAATCACTCCCTCACTCTGTCACTAGTCACACCCTCCTTCACTCTGTCACTAGAGTGAGGGGATGACTGGTGACAGAGTGAGGGAAGGGGTGACTAGTAGCAGAGTGAGGGAAGGAAGGGGTGACTAGTGGCAGAGTGAGGGAAGGAAGGGGTGACTGGTGACAGAGTGAGCGGATGACTGGTGACAGTGTGAGAGGGGGATGACTGGTGACAGAGTGAGTTAGGGGGTGACTAGTGACAGAGTAAGGGACGGAGGGGGTGACTAGTGACAGAAGGAGGGAGGGAGTAGTGACAGAGGGAGGTGGTGACTAGTGACAGAGTGAGGGAGGTGGTGACTAGTGACAGTCACCACTTCCCTCACTCTGTCACTAGTCACCCCTTGCTTACCTCACTCTGCCACTAGTCACCCCTTCCCTCACTCTGTCACTAGTCACCCCCTCACTCTGTCACTAGAGGGGGTGACTAGTGACAGAGTGAGGGAGGGAAGTGGTGACTAGTGACAGAGTTAGGGAGGGAAGGGGTGACTAGTGACAGAGTGAGGAATGGGGTGACTAGTGACAGAGGGGGGCTATCGACAGAGTGAGGGAGGTGGTGACTAGTGACTAGTGAGAGTCACCACCTCCCTCACTCTGTTACTAGTCACCACCTCCCTCACTCTGTCACCAGTCATTCCCTCACTCTGTCACTAGTCACCCCTTTGTTCCCTCACTCTGCCACTAGTCACCCCTTCCCTCACTCTGTCACCTGTCACCACCTCACTTTGTCACTAGTCACCTCCTCACTCTAGTGACAGAGTGAGGGAGGGTGTGACTAGTGACAGAGAGAGGGAGGGGGTGACTAGTTACAGTGAGGAAGGGGCAGAGTGAGTGAGGGTATGACTAGTGACAGAGTTAAGAAGGGGGTGACTAGTGACAGAGTGAGGGAGGTGGTGATTAGTGACAGAGGGAAGGTGTGACTAGTGACAGAGAGAGGGAGGGAAGGGGTGACTGGTGACAGAGTGAGGGGATGACTGGTGACAGAGTGAGGGGATGACTGGTGACAGAGTGAGGGAGGTGGTCACCAGTCATCCCCTCACTCTGTCACCAGTCACCCCTTCCTTCCTCTCACCCTGTCACTGTGTCACCCCCTTCCTCACTATGTCACTAGTCACCCCTTCCTTCCCTCACTCTGCCACTAGTCAACCCTTCCCTCACTCTGTCACCTGTCACCCCCTCACTCTTTCACTAGTCACCTCCTCACTCTAGTGACAGAGTGAGGTAGGGTGTGACTAGTGACAGAGAGAGGGATTGGTGGACTAGTGACAGAGGGAGGGGTGACTAGGGACAGAGTGAGGGAGGTGGTGACTAGTGACTAGTGACAGTCACCACCTCCCTCACTCTGTCACTAGTTACCACCTCCCTCACTCTTCCAACAGTCATCACCTCCCTCACTCTGTCACCAGTCATCCCCTCACTCTGTCACCAGTCATTTCCTCACTCTGCCACTAGTCACCTATTCCCTTATTCTGTCACCTGTCACCCCCTCACTCTAGTGAGGGAGGGTGTGACTAGTGACAGAGAGAGGGAGGGGGTGACTAGTGACAGTGAGGAAGGGGGTGATGTGAAAGATTCATCTGTATAGACTGGGATTGCTGGTTCGTCTGTTTTGCCTTTTCGTGGAATTACCCGTTCGTATGCCCCTGTTCAGTGAATTGACTTTTCCGCCGAACAAAACTACAGAATGGACGGCCACTCAGAAGAGAAGTGTGCTGCTGGTTAACCTCTTGATCCCAATTAGAACGTTGTGGTTAACTGCAGACACTTCTCAATTAAAACCGAATACAGGGTGGTCGTCGTTCGTATGTCGACCACGAGGCGGCGGCCATTTTAAACCATGAGAAAGACCAGCGGTGTTCAGCATTGATTTCATGGAACTGAAAACTGACACTTTTTCTGCCGAACACCGCTGAAGCCGCCGACCTCCCTTCTCAATCGACAGTAGTATGCGAACACCGGCCGTTCAGGAGGTTTAAACACACGAATGGACTTACCCCAGATAGCCTTCCCATGGAGTCAATCACGTACCAAAAGACTGTAATAGACTTTGACTCCATGGCGATTGAACTATGCGTATGGGATCTGAGCGCTATTCGCCAATAATGTGCACTCAGATCCAGGCTATCTGGGGATATGTGATACGAATGGGTAACATTCGACAAATGTAAAGTTATATATTTTTATATGTTTTTCTGTGTTGAATTTAAAATGGCGGTTTGCCTCTGTCCTGGAGATAATTGAATTACTTCTCAATTATCTCCAGGGCAGAGGGGAGGAAATACAAATGCATGCTGGGAATATTCTGTGTCTGTGGGTCCTAACCTGCCATATGTCTGTCTATTGTTACAGTCTCCCATTTGGTCCCCTAGGGGAGTGTCCACCAAGTGGGAGTCCTGCATAAATACGGGCAGGTAGCCCACAGTAAAGCCAGTTCTTGTTTTACCCCCAATGCGGAGCTTGGTCTCGTTATTGGGGGGATTTATTACCGACAACTAGAGACTGCTGGATGGAATTATTAGCCACTTGGGAGATATATGCGTTTGGCTACTATTGGCGATTCGTGAGTTTGGAGCTTGTGAAGTGAAGTGCCTGTACAGGTCCCGTTCGTGAGATTACAGCGTTCCCCTGCTTGCGGTTTGCATGATTATACTGGATACGCATGCAGCCTATGTTATTGCGAGAGGGGAGGATTCACTAAACGGCGGTTTGTACATTTGATGCTGCGGGTACCGTAACAGGTGACTAGTGACAGAGTGAGGGAGGGTGTGACTAGTGACAGAGAGAGGGAAGGGGTGACTAATGACAGAGTGAGGGAGGTTGTGATTTGTGACAGAGGGAGGGATGGGGTGACTAGTGACAGTCACCACCTCCTTCACTCTGTCACTAGTCACCCCCTCCCTCACTCTGTCATTGTGTCACGCCCTTCCTCACTCTGTCACTAGTCACCCACTCCCTCCCTCACTCTGTCACTAGTCACCCCCTCTCTCACTCTGTCACTACTCACCCCCTCTGTCACTAGTCATCCCCTTCCTTACTGTCACTAGTCACCCCCTCCCTCTCTCTGTCACTAGTCACACCCTCCCTCACTCTGTCACTAGAGTGAGGAGGTGACTAGTGACAGAGTGAGGGGGTTACTAGTGACAGAGTGAGGGGGTGACAGGTGACAGAGGGAGGGGATGACTGGTGACAGAGTGAGTTAGGGGGTGACTAGTGACAGAGTAAGGGACTAGTGACAGAAGGAGGGAGGGAGTAGTGACAGAGGGAGGTGGTGACTAGTGACAGAGTGAGGGAGGTGGTGACTAGTGACAGTCACCACCTCCCTCACTCTGTCACAAGTCACCCCTTCCTTCCCTCACTCTGCCACTAGTCACCCCCTCACTCTAGTGACAGAGTGAGGGAGTGTGTGACTAGTGACAGAGTGAGGGAGGGAAGGGGTGACTAGTGACAGAGTGAGGGAGGTGGTGACCACCTCCCTCACTCTGTCACTGGTCACCCACTCCCTCCCTAACTCTGTCACCAGTCCTCCCCTCACTCTGTTATTAGTAACCCCTTCCTTCCGTCACTCTGCCACTAGTCACCCCTTGCCTCACTCTGTCACCTGTCACCCCCTCACTCTGTCACTAGTCACCCCCTCACTCTAGTGACAGAGTGAGGGAGGGTGTGACTAGTGACAGAGAGAGGGAGGGTGTGACTAGTGAAAGTGAGTAAGGGTGTGACTAGTGACAGAGTGAGGGAGGGTAGGGGTGACTAGTGACAGATTGAGGGAGGTGGTGATTAGTGACAGAGGGAGGGATGGGGTGACTAGTGACAGTCACCCCCTCCCTCACTGTCACTGTGTCACCCCCTTCCTCACTCTGTCACTATGTCACCCACTCCCTCCCTCTGTCACCAGTCATCCCTTCATTCTGTCACTAGTCATCCCCTCACTCTGTCACTAGTCACCCCATTACTCTCTCTGTCAATAGTCACTCCCTCCCTAACTCTGTCACTGTGTCACCTGCTCCCTCACTCTGTCACCAGTCACCCCCACTCACTGTGTCTCCCCCTCACTCTGCCACCACTCAACCCCTCCCTCCCTCACTCTGCCACCAGGTACCCCTCAATCTGCCACCTGTCACAACCTCCAACACTCTTCCACCTGTCACCTTCTCCCTCACACACTGTCACCTGTCACATATGCATTCACACAGACACTATATACAAAAAAGCATATGTAGTCATCCAGACATGCACAAGTACATTCACATAGACTCAAATACAAACATGCATTGATACACAGGTCTTCACAATATACACAAGAATGCCGTATTATGAGTTATATTTAACATTTATTTAATGCACATATATTTGGCCTTCAAAGGGCATGGGATCTAATTTCTCAGTCCGCCCCTGTCTGTGGGTCATAATAAATGCTGTAGTTAATACTTGCTTAATGCTGTAGTTAATACTTGTCTATTCTATATAGATAATGTATCGTTTATAATCGTGTTTAGTGATTTACAGACACTTAACCCCTTAAGGACACATGACATGTGTGACATGTCATGATTCATTTTTATTCCAGAAGTTTCATCCTGAAGTGGTTAAACATATTTCCAGGTCTTTAATATATTTTTTTATTTTATATTTATATATTACACAGTTTGATTATGATTTTATCTGACATTTACTTATTAATTTATTGCTTTTCTCTATGTCCGATATGTTTATATGTGAGAGACTCTAAGAATTAGTATCTGTCTATAGAAAACATGGTCAATAAAGTTTTGTGAAGAGTTGGAAAGCATGGTTGCGTTCCAAATACAGACGGAACAGCTGTGCAGCATGGATTATTGCCGTGATGAGTGACATCATATGAAGAGGACGGAAATCAAAGGAGAAGAAGCCAGGTGTCCTTAATCTTCAATCACAGACGATATATAAGAGACCATTCACCTGGGAAGATTACAAGCAACTGAAGAAGCCTATTAGATTTCTCTTTTATTTCTATTTATCCAAGTGTTTTATTACATTACCTTTAAAAGGATTTTTACAACTCTATCACCGCCTAAGTGGATCTATTAAGAGAACCAGAGGACGAACCAGCGGCAGGTGCATAAAAAGTGTGGGATCCCTTTTGATATTCCCACAGGCATTCATATTGAGCCTAACATTACTGGCTCTTTCCTTGTGAGTACAAGACTAAAGATTACACGTTTACTATTTAACTGTCTACTATTTATGATATTGCACTAGGTTTTTGTTATTCCCTTTTTTTACATTGTACCTCATTATCTATTTCCACATCATCCAATATTGTCTACCCAAGAACCAACCACACTTCGCCTACTGTGTATGTATGTCTAATCATAATGTCTAGGATCACTTGTTTCCATCTCCATTAATTTGGGTCTCATGCACAGGCTGAAACACACGGAACCCTAAGGTAAAGTTGGAGTGGGATTATTGCTCAAGCCCACAATATCCTTAATTACTAACTAAAAGAGATTTTACAGACAATCGGTGAGATGGTGGATCTTTATTGTCATTTTGGTAATACAGGCTCTAGAAAGAAAGTCTAATAAATATATTTATTAATTATGTTATTTAAACATTTTGCTTTCAAACACAATAATGTCTAGCTTTATAATAAGGGGCTGACATGAAGTATCTAACTCTTTTCAATTAAATAGTAGATATTCCATCCCCTAATCTCCCCTAATGGACAGGAGAGCAAAAGGTGGTCTTAATTTCATTCAGATCAAAAACTCTCTGTAGATATGACCTTCTAGAAAGTCCCAATATTCAATCTATGCTCAGTTTTATATATTTTTGCTCAATTTGGCTTCAGAATTGATGCCATATAAATACATTTGCAAAATAATAGTGCCTGGTAGTGTAAATAATTAAAACAAGGAAGACAGTTGGGTTTTATACTGAAAGGGATGTCACAGTGCAAAAGCTTGACATATTGTGGGTTTTAAAGTAAAATATTTGCTTCCAGAGAACTTGCATATCTAACATTCATGAGGTAAGATATGAGTACCCCAAGAGAAAACCAAAAAGGACAAAATTACCCTCAAGAAAGACTATCAAGTAGGATGGCATCCAATGAGGCAGTCTGCATAATATTCCACATCTTTCTCCTAATTATCCAATCTTGCTTCCATTTAATTCACACAATTGCACCTTGTTTTTTTTTTTTATTATTCTTTATTTGTATTACATATATTATTATTATTATTATTATTTATATAGACCCAGCAAATTCTGTAGCCCTGTACAATGGGTGGACTAACAGACACATAATTGTAACCAGACAAATAGAAACACAGGAACAGAAGGGTTGAGGGCCCTGCTCAATGAGCTTACATGCTAGAGGGAGTGGGGTATAGTGACAAAAAGGGTATAAGTAAGGGTAATGAAATAGGTTGCTAGAAAAGTATTCACTGATAACTTAGTAGATTATTTTTGACAGTAGCAGGAGAGGAGGCATGGGGGGGAATGAAAAAAACAGCTAACAGTTTAAATGATATGCTTACCTGAAGGATTTTTTGAAGGAGTGGAGACTGGGTGAAAGTCTAACGGAGAAGGGAAGGGAGTACCAGAGAAAATATGCAGCCCTGGATAAGTCTTGTAGCCGAGCATTAGATGTGGGAGTACAGAGAGAGGATAAACGTAGGTCTTCAGCAGAGCGCACTTGTGTATTAGGGAGGATAGGTAGGTTGGAGCAGCATTATGTAGGTACTTGTAAACAAGCACCAAAATCTTAAATTGAGCCCTATATCTTACTGGAAGCCAATGTAGGGACTGACAGAGGGGGGTGCGGGCAGGCAGGAAAATGAGCCTTGCCGACGCATTAATTATAGATTACAGAGGTGCAGTCTGAGAAGGGGATTGCAGTAGTCAAGGCGAGAAAGAACAACTGCATGGACCAGCACCTTAGCTGCGTCTGGTGTTAAATAGGGGTGAATGCAAGCTATGTTATTGAGATGGAAGCGGCAGGATTTGGCGATCAACTGGTCATGAAGGGTGAAGGAGAGGTCGGAGTCAAAGAGAAGACCTAGGCAGCAAACTTGAGAGGTAGAAGTGATGGTGACGCCATTGACTTGGAGGGAGACAGACACGGGAGTAGCAACACTTGAGGGAGGAAAGACCTGTTCTGTTTTGGACAGGTTGAGTTTAAGGAAGTGAGCAGCCATCCAGTTGGAAATCATGGAGAGGCAGTCAGAGACATGAGTCAAGATGGGCAGAGAGAGATCACAACAGGACAGGTAGATTTGTGTGTCATCTGCATTTAAATGATAATGGAAGCCAAATGAGCTGATGAGTTTACCAAGGGAGGCAGTGTAGACTGTGAACAATAGGGGACCAAGGACAGAACCTTGGGGAATGCCAACAGAGAGGGGTTGGGGAGAAGAGGCAGAGCCAGAGAAGGAAACACTGAAAAAGCGATGGGAAAGGAGCACCAGGAGAGAGCAGTATCTCGTAGACCAAGATTACAAAGAAGAAGAAAAGCTGTTGATGATCAACAATGTCAAAGGCAGCAGAAAGATCAAGGAGAATTAGGATAAAGTAATGGCCGTGGGATTTAGCAGCGATTAAATCGTTTGATACTTTGGTCACAGCTGTTTCAACAGAGTGACGAGCGTGGAATCCAGACTGAAGTGGGTCAAGCACAGAGTTGGATTTAAGGAAGTCTGTCAATCTCGCATACACAACTCGCTCAAGGATCTTGGAGGCAAACGGCAGTAGCGATATAAGGCGGTAGTTGGATGGGGAGTTGGGGTCAAGGTTGGGCTTTTTCAGAATAGGCGTTATAGTTGCATGCTTGAAGTGTGAAGGAAATGTGCCAGAGGAAAGGGAGAGATTGAAATTTTTAATGATATAAAGAGGACATCACATGAAACATAACAAGAAGATAAGTGAGAGTCTTGTGGGACTCATAATATATTTGTTCAAACCATAAAATAAATGGTTTTATATATATATATATATATATATATATTTAAAACAACTTAAACATTATAAACTAATTTCCGGTAGAATCTATAAAAGTTCACATGTCAAAACCTATATCAATTAACTTACAAAGTAGGTATTACTCTTATTATTATTTATTTATTTATTTATTTATAAAATATTTTACCAGAGATTGAGATGTCTCTCGTAGATTTCTCTTTTCTCTCTCTTATTGCTCCATAGCATCCACGCACAAGTGCAAAATTCTGTTTCTCTATTCTGCTTCTCATTCCAGACCTCAAAGCCACTTTTAATGGAGTTAAGCATTCACCTTGTATTTCTGCATTGGCTATACTAGGTACAAGATGCCAAAAGACAAAGAGTTATTCTTAAATGCTATGAATTATATATATGCTTTGAAATCACCAATTACAGTATAACCTCAGGTTAGACAACAGTTTGAAGTGATTATATTGAAACCTAATTTTAAAAGTGCAATTTCTTAAGTAGAGTTTCAATTTTCTTATTTACTGGAAGTATAGAAATCATTAACATAATGGTATAAATGTTATTCCATTTATAGAGGTTTCAGATACAGGGAAGAATCCCAAAATAATCAATCCATGTTTTTGGCTGAATGTCCATAGACATAGTCCATAGACATAGGTCAGATGATTAGGGAGTTGAGCGGACACCTGGATGTTCGGGTCCGGCGGGTTCGGCCAAACTTAGAAAAAAAGTCCGGGTTCTGGATCGAACTTTACTCCGAATTTGACCCCGAACCCCATTGAAGTCAAAGGGGAACCGTACTTTTGGGCACAGAAATGCCTCTTAAAAAGTCCTGGAAAGAGCTAGAGGGCTGCAAAAGGAAGTAAAAAGAGTAGGACAAGTGCCCTGCAAACAAATGTGGATAGGGAAATCACTTAAAATAACATAAAAATTTAAAATACAGCTGAGCCATAAAATAGCACTAGATGGAATCTTTGATTTTAGCTTTGGAAGAACATAAATCAAAATCTAAAGCATGGCTTAAAGGAGGATCACCATAATTATCCATTTGAGAGAGGGTTGGAGTGCAGGCTATTCTCTTTCATTGTTCAAACTGAGCTCAACTCCTAATGCATGGAGAAAAGGCCTTCACAAGCCTCTTCTATTGTGTACGGTTGAGGAGTTGGTGACCGTGGCAGTGTAGGTGGAAGTGGCAGTGGAGGAGGTGGAGGTAGCCAACACTGTTTTTTATATATATATATATATATATATATATTTTTTTTTTTTAATTGCAGTAGCCCCAAAAATATTGGGACATATAAGAAAAGAAACATTTGCGGCCTGCGGTGCATTTCTTGCAGTCCTGATGCATGGAGAAATGCTCAACTCCTGATGCATGGAGAAAAGGCCTTCACAAGCCTCTGCCATTGTGTACATAGTTTATGCTAAGTGACCCATAGGTTGAGGAGGTGGTGACCGTGGCGGTGTAGGTGGACGGGTAACGGGGAATCAGGGTTCGATTCCGGAGAGGGAGCCTGAGAAACGGCTGCCACATGCAAAGAAGGCAGCAGGCGCGCAAATGACCCACTCCCGACGCGGGAAGGTAGTGACAACAAATAACAATAACAAAATCTAATCTTTAGAGGCCCTGTAATTGTAATGAGTCCACTTGAAATCCTTTAACTCTGATCAATTGGAGGGCAAGTCTGGTGCAGAGCAACTGACCTGTGCGTGCTGCAGCTGAAACTCCAGCAGCAAGGTGAGAACGCCGAAAGCACGCACAGCCGCTACAGTGAATGTCACATCCTGTTCCAAGTTGTGGGTGATGGCTTCTGGTATCCAGTACTCTTTTTACTGAAGCTGCATCAGGGTCCTGGTATGTGGCCACACAAACGCTGGTGATCAACACCAGGGGGCGTGTGGTTACCCTGCACCAGACCCTGCTAATCCATTCCACACTGTGACTCCTAACTTCAACATCAGGCATACTGGGTCCCGGTCGTCCAACCGCCACCCAGACAGTGTCTGGGTCCCGGTCATAGGACTGCAAAACTGTGAATGGCTCGATAAATCTGTTATGGTTCCTTTTATCACTCCATCTGTTACTTGGATAACTGTGGGAATTCTAAAGATAATGCAGGCCGATGAGCGCTAGGGGACGGCCGCTCCGCTTTTGCACCCTGCTCCCTCTTATGATGTGCTGGTGCCCCTGTGCGACCAGCTCCTCTTCCTCCAAACTGCACACGTCACTCGCATGACCTTGATTCCATGATGTCCTCCACATCATCTTCCACCCACTCCTCAACCCTGCCCTCCTTGCCGGTCTGTACACTGCAGAAAGCCACAGCAGTTGACACCTGTGTTTTTCCAGCATGTAAAGTCTGCAAAGGATATATGGAAATTGTTTTAGAAATGTATCCAGGCAACAGTTTTCCCTATAAACTGACCTCTCAGTTTGACTTGTGAGGGTATTGCCCCTGAATTACAATATTGTTATATTGGTATTTAACGGTTCTATTTGACTGTCAGATATGAAGTGCAGGCCGCAAATGTGCTATTTTTCACCCAAAAGATTTTTAATTGGTCAAACTGTGCTGTAACCACAGTATTTGACGGTTCTATTTGACTGTCAGATTTGAAGTGCACACCCCAAATTTACTTTTTAGCACCCAAAACAATTTGAATTTTTCAAACTTCGCTGTAAACACAGTATTTGACACTTCTATTTGACTCTCAGATATGAAGTGCAGGTATCAAATTGACTTTTTAGCACTTAAAGAATTAGAATTTTTACAACTGCAATGTAAGCACAATATTTGACGGTTCTATTTGACTCTCAGATATGAAGTGCACCGCAGGCCGCAAATGCACTATGTAGCAGCCAAAAAATTTGAATGTTTAAAAATGCTATGTCACATCACTATTTTTTTTTTAAATAATAATTTTTTTATTTAAACATTTTACACATAACAATACTTCCATTAATAGTTTATACTTCAATATATATAATATAATCAATCTTTGATTCATATAAATTTCTTACATGGAAGATAAAGACATATACAAAAACATAATATATTACATTACTAATGATACATACACTATACAAATTTACAATATAATACAATACACAATGGTTTTTAGAAGGTTTTCCTTAGTAGGGTGGAAGTAACATTCTAAATAAAGCTCTGAAATTACTAATGTCCAAAGTATTCTCAGTTTGTCTAATATTATTTCAACTTAATAGAGACCTTTACTTATCTCATATTTTCTCTATTAATTAATTCCGAACATTTCAACCAGACAGATACTTTTTTGCTTAGTTTTTGTTTACTCAATATCAACTCCATTTTTATCTGAAATTCGAGTTGATTTTTAACTTTCCTCCAGGGGACGTCTAGATCTTTTTTCCACCATCTCGCAACCACTATTTTAGCAGCCAAGAAAAGGTGAGTAAGAATTAATTTTGATTCATACGACATGGATGGCCAATTTAGATGTAACAAAACGACCTCCGGGGAAATTCTCAACTCGAGTTTCAGACCTACGGATATAAACTTTTGTATTTCCAACCACAAATTTCTCAGTTTATGGCATTCCCACCATATATGTCCAAAATTACCCTTTGCAAAACCACACCTCCAACATACAGGATTTATTGAAGGATATGTTTTGTTTAGTTTATCCTGTACTAAGTACCATCTGTTTAAAACTTTAAAGTGTGTTTCTAACAGATTTAACAAGTGTATAATCTTCATAACTTCCATCATTGAAGAACTCCATTGTTTCAAATTTATATCAATATGTAGATCTTTTTTCCAAGGAGATATGGCTGTTGGGATTATATCTTTGACACTTGCTTTACTCAATACTAAAGCTTTAGAAAGTGGTTCATTTATTCTTTTTGATGTGAATAATGAATCAATCAAATTGTTCGAATTAGATTTTGATGTAATTAGATGAGTAGTCATATGACTTTTAAGTCTCAAAAAATTAAACAGCTCTTTAGATGGAAGACTATATTCACATGTTATCTGAACGAAAGTTTTAATTGTTCCTTCTATCGGTAATTGTGCCAACCGTAAGATCCCTACTTTTTTCCAATCATTAAGTCTTCTACCTGGTTTTCCACAATGTTTAGCTCTAAATAGCTTGGAACTTTTTTTTCAATATTTAATACTTTTTTTATTTTAAACCAGCTATTTATTAAATGAGGTAAGATAATATTGGAGTATACTTTTTTGTAGAATTTATCTATATTCCAAATTAAACAATCCAAACTAGGGACTTCACCTGTACTTGTTTCCATCCTTCATTTTTATTCTCTTCTAATTGCATTCTATAAATATGTAAAATTGTAGCTGCTTTAAAGTTGTTCATTATTAACGGATAGGCAAGTCCACCCTTACTTAATTTTTGTGCTAATACTGACTGCTTCAACCTTGGTTTCTTGCCCTTCCAAATATATTGAGTAAAACTTTTTTGTATCAACTCAAGCCAATGAATCGGAATATGAAGATGTAACATTTGGAACATATAGTTCCATTTTGGTATTACATATGAATTAATCACATTTATTCTTCCCCAAAAAGTGATTTCTAAATTTCTATGGTCTTTTAACCATCTTTTAAGTTTTAATAATAACTCTAGAAAATGTGTCTCCATAACTTTGTTAACCTCTCTAGTAATTTTAATTCCTAAATAATCCATACTGTCTTTAACCCAAATAAAGTCATATCTATTCTTAATCTCTTGTTTTGTTTTTTTGTCAAGGTTAATATCTAGAATCATAGATTTATTTATATTTAATTTATAGTTTGATATATGACTATACCGGGCAACTTCCTGCATAAGGAACTCCAATGAACTTTTAGGATTAGGCATAGTGATTAAAATATCATCAGCTTATAGACTGATATTTTGATCCACATCCATTATTTTATAGCCGTCGATCTTTTTATTATTTCTAATATTTTCAGATATTTGCTTAAAGGGACACCGTAGGCACTGTATCTGCTTCATCTCATTAAACTGGTTATAGTGTCTGGAGTCCCCTGGTACCATCATTTCTTTCAGCATTAAACAGTTTTTAATGTTGTAATGTTTTAATGCTAAACAAGAGTCCACGGCAGTCTATCCCCTCTGTGCTGCTTTGGCTAATAAGGAAGTATTACCCTGACAGGCAATGGGCAGCTGTGATTGGCTGAGAGTGTCAGCTGACTGCTTTTAACCTGTCAGAGCTCCAACTGACGGTATGAATGGGTATGACAACAAGGAAGTGTGTAATCTCTGCTTTAGCTACACATACAGAAGGGGCCGGACTGTGGGTGGCCAGGGACTCTTATTTTGTGGAATACTGCACAAACATGGTGCAACACTGAATGGAGGGACAGTGCCAGGCCACGCCAAGCACTAAAACCAAAGAGACAAAGTGGTTTTAGTGACTACAGTGTCCCTTTAATAGACAATAAATAAAGTAATGGTGAAAGCGGGTACCCCTGTCGAGTCCCATTTTTAAGTTGGAACCATGGGGCAGTAATATTAGGTCCTATAGTACGTGCAACTGGATTTGCATAGAGAGCCCTATTTCTATTTGCATCGTCTAAGATGTTTATAATTCTTCTCGTGCTTGTATAAGAATTTCTGCCCCGAACATATCCTATTTGATCTCTATGTATAATTAATAGAAGAAGTATCTTTATTCTGGCGGCCAAAACTGATGCATATATAAGTTAGTATCTACATCTATCAGAGATATTGGGCTATAGTTTTTGATGTCAGTAGGGTTTTTATCGTATTTTAAGATTGGCAAAATATTAGCTTTCAACATCTCTGCTTGGAGGAATCCTCTACTTGCAGCTGTATTGAAAGCATTTGTCAAATGAGGACAAAGTAATTCTTTAAATGTTTTATAAAACAAATTGTTGATGTCACAGCACTATTTGATGGTTCTATTTGACTCTCACATATGAAGTGCACCTCAGGCCGCAAATTACTATTTAGCAGCTGTGACGAAGTGCCCTTCGCCACTTGTGCCTGGAGGGGACTACTGGCTAGCCTCCTGCCTTCCGACTATGGCCCATGTGCTGATAGCGGTATTTTCCCCTGCAGAAAGGTTTATTTGTGTATTTCTGCTGGGGCGTTCTGGACTTTCAGTATGGTAGTAGTGCTATCCCAGATAGCTATGCCATGAAGCCTATTTGTGTAACAAAAGACTATGGAAAAGACTTTGGCTCCATTACGATTGAATTGTATGTATGTGATCTGAGCGCCATTCAATAATAATGTGCACTCAGATCTAAGCTATCTGGGGATATGTTGCATGTATATGTTTTATATAGTAATTGTAACATTGTGTAATTTTATGTCCTTTTGTAGCCATGTGGTTAATGGAGTCTTGCCTCTGTCCTGGGAGATAAGTTGATTACTTCCCAATTATCTCCAGGATAGAGAGGAGGGATTGTGATGTCACTGTGGGAGTGTTTTGTTTGTATTGTCTGTGATTGGTTATACTGGGTCCCACCCTGTGGGATGTCCCCTTGCATGGGGACTTGCATAAAAGCCAGTGTGTGGTCATTAAAACCAGATCATCTTGTACCTTTCTTGAAGCCTTGGCTCATGTTTGGGGGAAGGGGATTGCTATAATCACTTACTCCACAGAGTAAGCTCTTGCAATAGCTTGATTTGTCCCTACTACGCTCTCTGGATTTAGGAGAGGTTCACCCACTGGGAGCTTGATCCTGGTTGTGGATCCAGGGTG